TACAAATCTGTATGAACTCTACCTGGAGCAACTGTAACTGTTGGAAACAAGTCCAGCACCGTTTTCTTAATAATTTGGAAGCCAAAGGCCTTGTCATCAGCACCACTGATGGGTAGAGGGTCGAATCCATCAACAAGTTCTACCTTCACTCGCTGGTCACCCACCGTATCCTTGATTATGTCCAGTACCTAAAAAAGACAGCACACATCTCATATTCATGTCAAAGTGTACATAGTAAGGCATTCATTCTCAAAAAGGACTCTACCTCTTGTACCGACTGCGCTGAGTGAATTCGTAGATTTACATAAGCTTCAGCAAGGGAAGGAATAACATTTATCTGCAGAGGGAGGGAGATATTGAATTTTTACAAAGAAAAGTAACAGGCTTAAAATCTTACTTCTTGTGAATTACATTCAATTTAAAATAATCACTGCACCTTTACTCCTGCATTAAAAAAGGTGACTGCTGTGGTAGTCCTTACAAATGCATTAGATACTGGTTTTCTTTCAAGTATCCTGAAACATAAAAACTGGTCTATTTCACTGGAACCAATCACAAGAAAACATGACATTTGAATTTATATTTAAATGATATTTAGTCGTTATTACCTGCTAAGGAGCGGAGAGAAGAGCCACAAATTCGACATTATGAACTTTAGTGGTAAACTGAACTGAAGGCAGAGAATTAGTAGTTGGTAAAGAATGAGTACATGAGTTTACTACTAGTAAAGAAGTATTTAGATTACCCTACCTTGTGGGCCAGATGCTCAAAGGTGTCACCTTCAGGGCCATAACCAAATAACCTCGGCATTGGGTTGTCCTCTAGTCTGAGGAAACAGGATCACAGTTAAATCTTTTATACTAGCTTTTTAAACATGGGGTAGTAAAATTATGGAAGGCAGTGAAACATATGAACAGAGAAGCTAAACAGAACTCATTATAGTTTAAAAAACAATGTTCCTCTCACCTTTTGACTGCTGTGGCTAAGATCCCAATGCTAGTTTCCCTGGGAGGCATCGAGGAGTGACCAGGGGCCACAGACACACTAAGCTTTATAGCAGCCTGGCCTTTTTCACTTAACCCAATTCTACAAATCATAAATCATACACATAAACATAAGATGTGATCAACACAAGTGCACAACACATGTTCAGGCAGGTTCTTACAGAGCAGCAGGTCCTTCAAGACCAGGAATGATTCCATCAGATATAGTCAGGCCCTCGTCCATGACAAACAACAGCTGGACACCACGTTGCTTCAGAATACGCACTATGTTCATCGCTCCATTGAGACCACTGATCTTAAAAAAGAGATTTTGAAGAGCACAGCCATTAAAATGTGATATCTACAATCCCATTTAAGTTTGTAATGTCATAGTGGAACTGTTAACATACTTCTTCATCATGACCAAGACCGATGTAAAATCCCCTGCGTGGAGCATAGCCCTTTAACAGCAAGTACTCCAGCGCCTGAAGTATTCCCTAGAAGAAATAAATCAGCTGTTTAGCCAAATATACCTCAAGTCTGTTTAAAAGTAAGCTCACACAAAAGTAATATGTTTTCACACCATTAGATTGTTTTTGTCATCTATGGTTCCTCTGCCGTAGATGAAGCCATCGATCTCCTTTGCAGAAAATGGCGGCGCTTCCCAACCATCTGACTCTGAAGCAGGTACTACATCAATGTGGGCCAGCAGCATGTATGGAACCAGTTCAGGCTGTGATCCTTTCACCCAAAACAAGTGGCTGTAGTTTGCCACCAATTCATGATGAACCAAGCTAGAAGAGAAAACTGTAGGGAAGGCTGACAAAAAAAAACAAGCTGAAAGAGCAATTCTTTTCTTAAATTCATCATCTATCGCTTTAATTAATTGCAGCTCTGCAAGATCCCTCTGCTCCAGAAGGCACATGTGCAGGCCCGTCCTTATTTCACCAGCGAACATCTAAATGATTCAGAGGATTTGAAGAAAGTTCTATTGTCAGATGAAACCAAAGAACCCAAAGAACACCATCTCCATAGACAAGCATGGAAGTGGAAATATTATGCTTTGGGTCTGTTTTTTCTGCTAAGGATACCGGACAACTTCACCACATAGAGTGGCTAATGGACAGGGCCATGTAGCATAAAATCTGGGATAAGAACCTCCTCCCCTAACCCACAACACTGAAGATGGGTCATGGATAGGTTTTCCAGCATGACCTAAAACATACTGCAAGGCAACAAAAGAGGTAAATGGTTAAATAAAGAAGCACATTAAGCTTATGGAGTGCCATAGCCAGTCTCCAGATGTCAACCCTTTAGAAAGTCAGTGGAGGGAGCTGAAACTTCAAGTTGCTTTTTAAGTGAGCAAGCTCACATTTTCAGCAGGGGATCAAATAATTATTTCTCTCACTGTACAAACAATAAATGTTTTTGAGAAGTCCCCATACACCAAAGCAAGGAAAACTCTGAGACAGTTAAAGACAACAAGCTGTGATTGTAATGAAGTGTTTCAGCAAATATAATTTTCCCCCTGTTAACATACATGAGGCTTTTTCAGTTGCTTAGTAACAATCCAATTTATAAAATAAAACATACTGAGAAAAGGCTGCTATGTTTATTCTTATAACCGCAGTTAAATGTCTCCCACTTTGTCGGGGATGTTTGGAAAGAAGGGTGAATGTAATGTAATGCATGTATTATCCTTATTGTGAATGAAAATGAACAAGTGAAGATCAAGTAGCAATTTCTGCATTTGTTAAACATAAGGACTTTTATTTGTTTTCAATTGTTTTTAAGCAGAGTCAACTTCTTTTCTTGAATTGGAAGAATCTGTTCTCATGGCACACCTGCAGCAGGTATACATAGGCATCATTTTACCAAAATACACTATATTGGCAAAGTCAGAAATCAACTGTCCAAATCATTGAATTCAGGTCTACACTAATGGAAAGAAGGACGCCTTGGACCACTGAGTGTCAGAACAACTATCCAGGATGAAACAACAACAAACAATCCATGAGTACATCAGGAAAAGGGCCACTCTTTTGTTGGGACTGCTCTGTCTCTTGCTGCACTTTTCCATGGCTGTGCTAGCAACAGCAGCCTCTTGTGACTGCAAGGACATTATACTAGTTGTTGCTAGTACAACTGTTGATGGTGCAACTGCTAACATGTTGACTAATTTGACAAATTTTAGTGCACCTATGTTTTTTTTAGCTACAAAGGGTAGGCCAGCATAATATTAAACTCTATGGCCAAGAATGGGATGTAACTCAGTTACTATTAGTGTGAAGGCAAACAAGCAAATACTTTAGGCAATATTGTGTATCAACGCACTGAAAGATACTGTTCCAAATAAATAGTAAAATATTAGATAAAACAGTGAATTGTGTGTCACTGACAAAGGCATCAATTAAGTATTTTACAGTGGAAGTGAGGGTTACATTGTGGTTGCTGTGGGTTTCACTAACCAGCTGCCAAAAAAAAAGTGCCATGAACTGCTGTGTAACTTGCTGCTTAATGATGATTATTGTTGTTAAGCTTTCTGGAAGTTTACCTGTCATCAGATTTGTTCTACACTTCCAATAAAGACTAGAGTAAGCAGGTAAAACGCACCAAAACCTCAGGTCATGTGACTTGATGTTTTGAACCACGTGCATCTCAATGTAGGTTTCGACATACCTGGGCTCGGCAAAACGGCGAAAGGTCAATTCTGAATAAGGTGTACGGAACAAAGTACATCTGCACAGCAAACACTAACTGCGTCTTTATCCATTTATTAGCGTTATACAAGTTTGACATACAAAAACTACATTAACGTTTAGAGTTTGCTACAACTGACCGATCAAATCATGCGTGCAAGCGTCGACAGCCATCAGCTAGTTCCAGTTGAGCATATTATATATAAACAGTGTTGGGGAGTAATGGAATACATGCACCGCCGTTACGTATTTAAAATACAAAAACTAAGCACGTTTTACTGGCAGGTTTACCTTTTCGGAGGAATCTGTCAAATTCATGCAGCGCAGTGGTGTTGCTTTCTGTATTTGAGAATGATACGGTGGGGATGCGGATTGCCTCTGGACAAATGGAGACAAATTGTTACCAAACAGAAGTGTCTCTACCTCCATCTACATCCACTACAACACGACTCCGAATACCTTTAAAATTTGCTAGGAGCTCCTCTCTCTGATGGTGGTCAATGACGAGCGATTTGTTATTAGTCTTTTCCCAGTGTGCGAGTTGAAGTCCGGCGTTAACGTCCAGTGAAAGAGTCCTGATAGCCGCTATTGTAAATAACAGCAGGACTGTAATAAGCAAGCTGCTAATAATTATCTTTAAAAACTTAAATATTCTTAACTTTGAACCCGACTCAGTCATTGTAACGGCTGTTGTGTTTACCCCGGAACTCGTCGACTGTGACTGTAGGCTGAATTTGCATTAGAGCCACCTGCTGCCAGACACAGACAGTCACGCCTACATTATGTAGAGAGCAGTTATAAGAGCTTATTTCAGTTTTCGTTAAATAACCATCCGGGTGGAGAAAGAATATACAAAGCTTGTGTGCAATAAAGGCTTGTTTTGCAGTATGAAAAGGCGCATAGAAATTTTATTGAAGTACATATCAAACATTTAAGAAAAAAAAAAAAAAAAGGCATGCAAGTACCGTGACAAGTTCTGTGAAAAGGCAATATTACAATTAGGGTTAAGAAAATAGACAATTTTTAAAATTAGTTCGTTTCAGCATCACTTCTATAGTAACAAGAACAGTGACAATATTATAGAAAAAAAAAAGTATAAAACTGTTTTTTTTAGTCCGCTTCCACAAAGGGGAAACAAAAATCTGTCGGTGTGAAAGTAACACTCAATTAAAGCAATGTTAATCCTGTGCATAGTCAACATCTGCGTCCTGTGACTCTGCCTGAACCAGAAGCCTGTCCTCACCGTATGACCAATAGCTTAGACTGTCCTCAACATTAACATAAATAAGGTACAGGACACATGCTACAATTATGAAAACTAAAATCTGTATGTGAATGGGTACAAGATAGCGCTCCACCTCCCGTCTCTGCTGGGTCATGGGACTCACAGGACTGTCAGGGTAGGAATACTGGACAGGTCTCTGTGCGGCACCCTTGATGGGTCTCCGGCGAGTGACGCTGAAAAACAATGGAATACACATCCTTATAATTGAGTCAGAGCACTTACACCATGTGAAAGATGTTTATCTGCCAAACTTTTTATTTATTTATTTTTTATCTTTTTATTTTATCTCTTATGCAGCAAGTAAGAGTTTCAACAGGGTTTGTGTGGTACTTACTAGATCCCTGTTGGAGTGGTCTTACTGTCTGGAAGGATGTCCTTGAAAGCATCTTTCACAGGTTCCTGGGGAGGCTAGAAAGGACGGTAAAAATGAGTGAAATGACACAAATGAAACCAGAAACAGTAAAGACAGGAGCCCTGCATTTCAAGTAGAATTAAACGATGGTGACCGTAATGAAAACAGGTTCTGCTCCCAAGTTTGATGTAATGGGATGTTTTTTAATTAAAAACAGAGTGGGTTGGGAAAGGAAAGACTAACCAGAATATTGACGATGCATGACATTAGTAACTGCAAATCATATACCAGAGTTTGGTAAAACATTTAAGCAATTGTTAAAGTTAATGTGCCGATTGAATTTTATAGATCGATTTAAAATAAAAATGACATCAAAGAAAGTTCAATCAACACCCCATCAAACATATAGTGCTTGTGTAGTAAGTGCATGTGCATCCCATCAAGTGATATGGATCAAAATCCAAATCTTAAGAGCCAGTAAGATGTATATGACACCATTCTCCATTAATGTGGGGGGGGGGGAAAATAAAAATAAAAAAATAAACCACCCCTGTGAAACAATTCAGCCGGCACCAAAGTTTGTGTGTAAAGTGTGACTGAACACTATATGCTCTGACCTCGTCTGACTGTGCCCAGTTTTCCTGCACACTGGTCCCATTGAACTCGCACGCATTGTCTGTGACAGACCGTGAGCTCGATTTCTCCATCTATTTACAGCAAGAATGTAAACTGAGCAACAACTCCAGCAGAGATTATGTATAACAAAAAATAAAGACCGAATATGGCGCTTTAAATGTGGATCAACTTTCCTCCTCAACCATTTGAGTGATGCTGAAGTATTGAGAAGAAAGTGATGAGTCATCAGTGGACTTTGATCTAGGTAGAACCTGCAAGGTATCATGTTAAAAGCAATAAAACATGATGCATCTCCATATGAATGGTAAATAAAAACCATCGAACTATGGTATGTTGAGAGGTTCACAAAGCAAAAAAAGACTAAGGAATGCAGAGAATTTGAAATTCATAGGGCGCCTACTAAGACCAGCCTACCGTTGATCCTAATCTTGTGTGGTGATCTGCAGCGGATGTGCTAATATTCTGTGAGCACTGAGATTGACTCCGCTCTGAAGACTTTAACGCATTCCGTGAATTCCAGTTGGAACTACATTTTGTGTTCCTAGGAGGACAAGGGCGCTTAAAAAGCCAAGCCCATGAAAGGGGGGGGGGGGGGGGAGAGACGACAACTTTGTTATCACTTAACAATTCAGTTTGACAGAATGTTCTTGAAATGATATGAAATATCTGCAGTAATTACCAGCCTTGATGAGGGTAAAAAGCACTGTGGGTAAAAAATGTGATTCTGAAAAGTTAAAGAAAATAACATCAAAAGTTACAATTCAAATGCTTTGGCAAAAATCTGAATCCAGTATTAAAACTGCAATGAGTAACCATTAGGTGGCATTAGAGGGAAGTTTTGTGCTGTGATAGAACTGTTGAGTGGCAGTATGATACCCAGCAGATGGCAATAAGGCCAACTTACTTCCAGATTGTTAAAAAGAGAACGTTTAAAAAAAAAAAAAAAAGTGACTTTCATCTAAAAGAACCAAAGTCTCTAAAATAATTCCTCACCTGGCTGCTCTCTTGTTGGGTTTGGTCTGAAGGGTCAGGTTGTTTTTCTGAACCTGTACAAGCCAGAGAAAAATACAACGTTGTGATACGAATAAAGCAAAATCTTATTCAAATAAACCCCAAACATTTCTTGTCATACCCAAGTCTTCATCCTTCTCCTGCTGCTTTTCCTCCTCTTCAGAGTCAGAGTACAGTATGGCTTTGTCTGCTTCATTCAACCTTTCACATCTGTCAGACTGTAGCAGTTTATGGAGTTTTCTTTCATACAAGACCCTAGTGGAGGCTGGCATTGAAACACAGCATGAAACCAATTTGCTCTTAAGGTCTAGGTCTATATAGATCTAAAAACCATCTGAATGTTATGTATAAAGACTTTTTTTTTTCATGGGAAAAATAAATTAAAAGGTGCTTAAAAAAAAAAATCTTTTCATAACCCTCACCAGTTATAGGCCCAGGTTTAACACCATGTTTGCGTAATGTGGCCTTGAGGTCCTCATCAGTCAGACAACTTGGAACAGGCATCTCTGCATCCTCTGGATCTTTCTTGTCCTAACAAAGACAAGATTTGCTCGATTTAAAGTGATAACAGCTGTGAGTTAAATGCCAGGAGGATCCAGGTGTGAAGATAGAAATAAAAACAGCTGGAGGCTGTCATTTATGGATCCGTTCAGTCTTCTAATCATGTTATAAGTCATTTGCATTCATGTTTAGATATGATAGAAAAAAGAAGAAAAAAAAAGCTATAAAGATTTTAAATTTTATTCACACTAAAGCCAAATAAAGTTACTTTGTTGTACCCCACCAAACCAACTGAAAAAATAATATAAAATAAATATAATATATAAATAAAAAAAATCTGATACATAATATAAAATACCAAATAAGAAAAGAAAAAAAAAACTTTGGCAAATCTGTTTTCTATTGCGATACAAAACACACAAAATGACAGGACAAATTAGTAGTATTAGTCCCCCTTGTTGTTTAAATGTAAAGTAGGATCTTCAAACAAGCGCTGACTAGAGGGGGGGGGGGGGGGGGGGGGGGGGGGAGGAGAGGGGGAAAAAAAGGAAAAAAAAAAAAAAAGAAAAATGTATAAACTTAGGTTGCAACTCATAATTCACATTCAGGGGGGGACCAAGGAAACGTCACACATTTATTACCATTTCTCAGTTTAAACGCCTGTTCACTTTATCTTGCAGTTTCTAAAAGTGAAACTGACACAATGTTGTGCTTAGTTTTGATAGTTTACCCAAAACATGACAAGCGCCAGCGTTCCCCTTCATAACAGAGCTAGATGAGCGTGACAGGTGCGCACACGCCTGTAATGGTAGCCTCCATTACAGAAACATCTCATGTAACATATACCAACTGTACAGCAGGTGGTTTAAGTGCTTGAAGTCCTCAAGTGTGCAACAGCAAGAGGGCTGTTCGGAAGCAATGGTCCAGAGCTCCACACCTCCAAAGCACACAGCTGCTGAACTTGTGCTGCTGCGGTGTGAAAGAATTAGCATTGGCAACGTCTGGCATTATTGATACCAATTTAATGTATGGACATCAGTTGTGACAGCCGATACTAAAGAGCCGTTGCACAGAGCGAATACTTTGTCATTGTCACTCATTAAGTTCGTCTCTATTTCGAAAAAGTCTACAGTAGAAAAACCATGTAGCCACAAAATATGGACTCACTTCCCCTGCACGGTCCTCCTCGTCGCTGGAGAAATCCGCCGCGTTTTTCTGATCAATATGTTTGAGGTGCAGCTCCACATACACTGCCTTTTTGCTCGCTGCAGGTGGCAGCGCGACGTTATGAGCGACTAAATCCGACTTTAGACGAGATTTAAAGAGATGGGCGGGCTCCTCCACAAACGGCATTTCACAAGAAAACAACAGCAGAATGTGAGAAAACAATACTGTTCGGTGTCCTCGGTGGAACTGCGAAGAAAGCCTTCTGCTGTAATCAGACTAGATTGAGAACAGCTGCAGTCCAAGACTTGATTGGCAGCAAGAAACTCCGCGTTACATACAGGAGACCAGTATCCAGGCTCGTTGTGAATTTATATATGTTTCAGCTGCATGTAATGTCTGTTTGTTAAACTAAGTAGAAAACTGAAAATGCAGTCCAGACTTTGCAGTACAACTTTGAGCTAGAATATTAGTCAGAAAGAAAAAGATTTTTATTGTAATTTTACTTTAAAGCTAAAACTATTCATTCCCAAAAACATTTCCATCTAAATGGAAGTCTATTTATTAAAATTAGAGCTGGTGGAGACATACTGCCATTAAAAAGGAAAAGCACAAGCGTTTTTAATTTGTATATTTTAAGTCCCCTATTGTGATGGATACAGCCATTGACATTTAGAGGTTTATGATGGGCTAATTTTTTTTTCAGTGAGAAAAGACTGATTCTCATTATGAATTTAAAGATGTATACAGCAGTTTCAGTAAAATAATCACATACCTTTGACTTCCAGGTGTGACCCACACTTTGGTTGCTGCTGGCACTGTGATATATGCTGCTGCAGCAGCATTTTGACACGAGTGA